ACATTTGTCACAGCTGTACTCGCCGCCACGGACTCCAATCCCCCCAATCGCGGGTTGTCAGTAGTAGCTGTAGTGGCTTCAGCTACTACTGTCAACCCGCAGTTCAGGGGTTTAGAGTCCGTGGCGGCGAGCACGGCTGTGACAAATGTTGGATGCCGCTTGGTTCTGGCGCAGATTTCGGACAGTTTTCAGAGGCTGCTGCGACCTTCGATATCTCAGCTCCAGTAACAAACCTGAACGTGCCAGCACGCACGACTCATCTTCATGATGTCCTCTGCTGATGACAATAGAATGCGACACCAAACACTCAAAATTGACCTTGTTTGAGCGCCTTCCGTCTTGGCTCTTTTGACTAGAATTCAGAATGGTGTGAATTTTCATCTTGATTTCAAAGGAGGCGTGTGGAGGACGCGTGAAATGTAGGTTTTGAGCAGCCTCTATTGCCGTCCTTTGCGAGAATCAACGATTTCTGCTTTCCGCGCTGCCTTCCTACTGGTCTGGTGTTTCCGTTGTGCAATTTCTGGTGCTTTTTATTTCAAAATTTGTCATAATCAAAATTCGTCTTCTGCACCCCCTAATGCTGATTCTTATACACCTGATTTCCTTTCCCAAAAAGCTTCACTTTTCAGAATGGGCAGAAATCCGGCTTCTTATACACAGCCAGATTCTTCAGTTTTTTGGGTCGACAAAATCCGGGTTCAGCTTTTTGGGTGGCCTCCACCCGAAAAGTTTGGAAGAAATCAGGATGGTGCCCACCCAGATTTCTCATCCCAAAACGTTCACCGCTGGGTGAACCCAGACGACATAATCGGCGAGTGCGACCTGAGTTCTTGACGTATCGCTCCCATCAAGGGCTCCCAGCAACCCTCCGCTGAAGGGCTTGCTATTCTGCACACTGGCTGTTGATGGTCGCTCGGCACGCGTGCGTAAAAAAAACATATCGCATCACACCAAGCATGGAGACGCCGAAACAGGCCAAACCGCCACGAGACAGCAAAAAGAGCCGCTTTTGGTCAGAGAGGAGATGACAACGCAACTGATTTCTCGCTCCCTAGGCCACCGATCGAAGCCAGACCGGTCAGGGCGTGCTCTCTGTTCCTTGCTCTCTGCCGGAGTAGAGTTGCTCAGCAGCTCGTTGATCCAATCATTCGAAACCGTCGTCTGCGTGTACACAAGCTGTCTGTTGAAAATTGTTTCCAGGCCTTCAACACATCACTCTATTCTCAAGTGAAGCAGACCAGAAAAAAATCACATCTAAAATAAGCGACGGACACCACGCGCATGCTTCTCTCCGTCGATCCAGAGTACGCGCTGCCGAGCAAGTCTACTCCGGCAGAGAGCAAGGAACAGAGAGCACGCCCTGACCGGTCTGGCTTCGATCGGTGGCCTAGGGAGCGAGAAATCAGTTGCGGTGTCATCCCCTCTCTGACCAAAAGCGGCTCTTTTTGCTGTCTCGTGGCGGTTTGGCCTGTTTCGGCGTCTCCATGCTTGGTGTGATGCGATATGTTTTTTTTACGCACGCGTGCCGAGCGACCATCAACAGCCAGCGTGCAGAATAGCAAGCCCTTCAGCGTAGGGTTGCTGGGAGCCCTTGATGGGAGCGATACGTCCAGAACTCAGGTCGCACTCGATGATAATGTCGTCTGGGTTGATCTACACCCTCCCCCCAAGAATCCGCCTCAGGAATCCGGCCCACTGTAAGAACGGCCGGAATTTTTCCAAGGGTTTACTCTAACATAAAACCGCCGTCAAATTACCGCCGTGGTGGGCGGTCCCGGTAATCCGCCGTTTTTTCGCCGTTTTTTTGTTTTACCGCCTCCGCCAAAGTCGTAACCGTCGAAAAACGCGTTACCGCCGTCCGTCAAAAAAGTACCGCCATAGAGTGGACAGGGAACGAAGCGCGCGCACACACAGCACACCGCCCATACCACACACATATCTGGTCCACGCACAGGTGGTCCAGCAGAACAATGAGCACTACAGAGGAGAATACCGGATCTAACCCTTAGCCGATGAGATACCACGAATGATCGGTGGGTCGTGTCGCGCAGGCAATGTAACTTTCGTTTTAAGCTTCAACGTGTTTCCGTTTTTAAGTTTTCATGTTTTTACGTCGTGCTGACTCTGAAATGAACGTGAAGGCCACTGGTGACAACGACAAAAAATCTTTGGTAGTATATGATCAATCTTGGGAAGGAGGTTTGCCGTCTGTTCGGGCGCCGTAATTCAGCACCACACAGGCGGCCTTGTTTGGTGTCGCTTTAAGTTATGGCCATATAGATGTGGCAATGGCACTCATGACCGCCGTCAAATTACCACCGTGGTGGGCCGTCCCGGTAATCCGCCGTTTTACCGCCGTTTTTTGGTTTTACCGCCTCGGCCAAATTCGTTACCGCCGAAAAACTCATTACCGCCGTCCGCCAAAACAAATACCGCCAAATGGCATTACCGCCGAGAACGTGTCCGCCTTTTTTGGTTTTACCGCCTCCGCCAAAATCGATACCGCCGAAAAACTCATTACCGCCGTCCGCCTAAACAATTACCGCCAAATGGCATTACCGCCGAAAACGTGTCCTCCTAAAAAACCGTTACCGAGTAAATCCTTGCTTTTTTCCAGCCGGATTTTCACCCATCCTGAAAAGTGAGTTTTTTTGGGAAAGGAATCCAGGTGTATAAGAATCAGTCTAAAACATAAAAAATAAGTATATACCCATTTATTTTCGTATACCTTTTTTTGGGTAAGTTAGCCTGTGGCCACGGGAATCGACCCCGTCAAGTGTTACTAGTACGGACAGAAGAAGGTACGGAGCAGAGAGAACGGAACGGTTTTTAATGTAAAGACAACAACAGCAACAACAATATTGTACGAGTAATGGTGTAGTACATGGTTGACATCAGGCGGTGGAGTTACACATCTTCAATAAGGAGGGATATGTTGGGGTTCTCCAGCAGTCTATCTCCAGCAAGCAATGAGGAATAAAGAGAGAGATGTTTATTATGGTGGCGCGTTCTGTGTTGTCGGAGAATGAAACTGCACTTTTGCATGTAGCTGTGACGACAGCCAAACGAGAGACTTGAGAGAGACCAAAGATATCGCTGCTACAGCAGTATACTATGTACTACACTGATGCAGTGTTCGAGTACATGAATACTGCTCCATCTATACTGCTGCACGATGAGAAAGTATGTCGGCCGACGTACTGAAAAGCCGCAAAAGCCGAATGGCAAGGTGACAAGGTGATAACCTTACAGCACTAGGACCAAATTCTGAGGCCAACCATATTCCAACAAGCTCTCTCCGACAGCGAGCGACTGGGTTGGCGAGTCAGCGATTAGCGACGCGAAAGAAGTTCAAGTTGCTCCGCGTTGCTGTACATATGTTGATGTTCAAACACCAAAAACCGATTTTATTACACCCACGGCGTGGTTCCAAGGCAATTTTTTCAACCTTGGCAGTCTATGTACAGTGATCTCGATTAATGTGGGAGGTGTTCGGTGGTACTAACCCTAAAACAGAGAGGCAGGAACGGACAGGGGACCGCGGGGAAAACGTTTCAACGGCACCGTTGTTCTTCAACAACCCTCTTAAGTCTATCTGCAGTACATCCCCACGCAGAACGAGAGAGCCACGGCCGTAGCCTGGGGCGAGCAATACATCGTGACATGTGCAAAGGTTTCCTTGCCTGCTGTGGTGCGCACGCATACCTGATTTCCGAACAGCGTCGACGACGTCTCTCAGGATCCAAACTCTGTGCTCCCGCCAGCAGCACTGCCCAGCTTACCCAACCCGTGGATGGGGGGGATCCGGGATTTGGGTATTCATCCGTGTGCCCCCCGTTACCTCTTTGCTCTTGCTCTTCTTCTGCAAGTGCTTCACAGTTCACACTCAGGCAGAACGCAGAAGGCAGTGTCCGTGCAACTCTCATGCGCCGCGCGTCATAACAGGTATGCTCCTCTATGTCCAGTGTCGCTCAGAAGCCCAGCAGTGCGCGCTCATCCTAGCATCAACTAGACGCGAGCCCATGGTCATGCATTATGGAGCCGGTGCTGCTGACCGTAGATAACATGACATTTACGATACCACCCCTACTATAGCAAGACTTATTTTCAAACCTCGCATATTATATACGTACTCCACGACGAAGAAGATGCACGAATGAAACGATAAATTTTCGGACGGCTCTCGACGACACGGCTTCAACGCCGTCGTTTTCGGCGCTTCCGCTCTTTCCTCTGTGGAGAAATCGACCTTTGCTTTGAAAATCGGTCGCGGGGTGCAACATCAGTGTGGTATATTCTGTCACGTACTGCTGTCGTCGTCTGGTACATTATCCTATGATACCTGGTAGCACATTGGGCACAGTACTGGGCCCTCTATAGTGCAGGGGTGTGTCCAGAGATTTCACGTGTACTATGTGTACCGGGCACCTGCACAATTCAGGATTGAGGTTAAGACTATTTTGTACTAGGTTTTAGGTACAATACTACAGTACAACAATATCACCTTAAATCTGTGTCAGTCACAGATTTCACTAGCAGGTATCACTGTGCCGGCCACCTGCACTTTCTAGTCAACCTGCACTATGGAGGTCATAGTAACGTACGTATTCATGCATTGGTACATGCTTTTCCCTTACATTGACTACATTTTATTTGCTATTCCCACTGCAGGAGTAACAAATTCTCTTGGTTGTGCACGAGGGAGGTATTTCAGGACCAGCTGTTTTTACAGTCATCTCCACCGTTGCCAGATGGCAGGCAAACATGCGTCCGACTCTGTCAGACAGGATGCTACAAGGGAACGGCGTTTCGTCTGACCCAAGGGTGATTTGTTTTGATGTAGTGGTGGCCACTCAGGCTATTGCAAACTGTTTGTAGCTTGAGTACAGCAGTGCTGCTGGCCTGCAGCAGCTCCCCCAACAGTACTTGTACCTATCGTGGATACCGCTACCATTTACTGCTGTAGGTGATATCCAACGCAATGTCTGCACTGTCGTTCTTTTCTTAACTGTCGTTCTTTTCTTGTTCGGAACGCTGATTTGATGGTATTATGGTCGACACCACCCATCTCTACAGCAGTGACGACTGTAGGACATCGTTTTTCCCTTCCTTGTGCGGGGTTGGTGTCTTGGATGCTATGGGCGATGGTGGGGGTGGGAGGACTCTGCAAGAGATTGATGCCGGAGCCAACGCTTGCAGCGTGGAGTGGTGTCCTACAGCCGGGTTGGAACACTACGTATCCTGCGCTACCTACTCGCTAGCCAGCGATGACACCTCACAGGACAACGCTGCTCCCACGGGTAGCTTGGATGACACGGAGACCCGCGCCGGTGCCGCGCAGACGAGAACAGGGAGCATCGTACTCCACAAGGTCAACGCTTTTAAATCTCGCTTCACCAAGTACATAATCTCCATAGCCTGCTGGTCATGATTATTCCCATTTGCAAATGGTGTTGCAGACCCCTCACGAAAGACGCGTGATTGGGTAGTTGGCAACTGGCAACTCAGGTACTAGACTTGAATTCACAAATAAAACCATTGGAACTGGCGCTCGGGTCAAAGTCTGACTCGGATTGTATCACACCACACAAAGTATGGGCATGCGCTAACGCTGACCGGAATTTGCGCTACCCGCGATTTGGACAGAAGTTTGAAGTGGCAAACGGCCACGCGCGTGCCGGAGCCCGTTGTATCGGATTCCACCCTGCTCGAAAGACGAGCTGGTTGCAACAGAGAACAGAGATGTTGCACCGCCGAACGAGGGTACGTAGATCGAGGTTTGTGCAGGTTGTCGCCTTGCGTTTCGTTTGCTTCCTTTCAGCTTGCGATGGTTTGCTTGCTTGGAAAAAGTCGGTGACAACTTGCCTTCTCTTTCCCGCGACCCCTCTGCTTCTCTGCGTCTAGCTTGCCTGCACACCTCCAACATCGCCACCGGCCCCAGCTGGTCAAGACACCGCACCCAGTTCCAGTGCGCGCCTTGAAGAAGCCGCTAGCGTGTCGCTTGACGGAGGAGTCTTGGACTCGAAGTGGTCTCCACAGCCCTTGACAGACAGCAGCGGGGCAGCCGTGCTGGCCTGCGCCACATCTACGGGCCGCCTTGCCCTTTACACGCTGTGTGCACCCGGTGCTGGCCAGCGGGAGGAGCAGGAGGAATCGGGAGAGCGTACAGAGTTGCGGCAACTTTCGTGTAGTGACAAGAAGGACAACTTGCTTTTGTCTCTGGACTGGAGCGGGGGGGGAATGGCAAATGCTAAGGTGCGGCGGTGTTGAGTGGAAGGTGGCTGGGGATGGCTGTAAAGTGGAAGCGTCGATACCGCACCTGAAACGTGATATGTGGCCTGTCAGCAATACCGTCTGGCACTCGGTAAAGGCGCATTTCCTCCTGCCGGGCTGCATCAGAAGTCGGAAGAGGGGCCAGCTCCCGATGACGTGTTGGAAAGGGGAGAACACCCATTTTTGCATGCAACGAGTACAACAGCAGTGCAATGCCTCGGGGGCTTCGCATGCAAAATCGATTCGCACCGCAGACGCCCACACAATATGAAGCAAATCTTGTTCTGCTGTATCATACATAGTGGATCGTGGTTGAACTGCCACCGCACGCCACCAATGATTTTGAACCAGCCCGTGGAAGCATTCCCGCACAACGCTCCGGTATATTCTTACAGTAAAGCCCACGAGCACCGCGGCGGACCCGATTGATACTTAGTTCACTTCCGCGTCGCCTCAACCCGACAATGGCACGTGCCTTTTTTTGGCAGATTGTGGTGAGCCAGTCCGACGGGGCAGTGGCCATCTGGCGGTTGCATCCAAACGGTGGCGCCCCCATTCAAGAAATAGAGCCGTGGCATGCCCATGCGCTACGAGGGGGGGCGCCGACAGAGGCATGGATTTCGTTTTTTCGAAGACCGGAGTGTGCAGGGGAGGACGGGGCCTCTTTCGTAGTGTCAGGAGCCGACGATGCTGCCATGAAAGGGTGGGATCTGCGGGCGGGCGGAGGTTCGAACGGAACCTCGCCGGCGTTCGTTTGCAAAGGCCAGCACGGGGCGGGCGTGACGGCGGGGCAATGGCATCCTACTCTTCCGCACGTGTTTGCCAGGTACGCTCGCTTGTAATCGATGGCGCAACCCTTGCCTGAAGTTGATGAAGGTGCAACTCGATCGCTGTGAATCTCTCAGCCACACTGGTTTTGTCTGGGTTACAGTAGTACGCTCGACGGCGTTGGGCTTGTAAGGATTAGGATGCCACAGGTCGACGAAAGCAGCACACGTTGATGGTTGATGCTTAATTGCTCCGCCACGTCATGTCACGCCATGTCACCTTCTTTTGCCGTAATAGTTCGGTTAAGAATTGTTCGACGAGTTCATAGAGGGAACTCACTTCTGCCGGGCCTGGGTCGCAGATTTTCAGAACGGCCTGGGGATGTTTGCAGAAGTAGCCTAGGCGCATGAACCAACCAGCAAGCTGGTGGGCGTGCGTGTGTGTGTGTGTGTTGGCCCCATTTTTGCTGACACCTGCTCTAGATGTTTGACTATCAGCCGGGGTTACACAGGAGGAAGGTCGCACAGGACCTTTTATTTGCAATGAAGACCGGTAAACATTTTTGCCCCGCTATTCCTTATGCAGCACTTGCCTTCGAGTTTACCGCGAAAAGGGTTCAGCCACCCCCTTAATCGTCGACCACGAAGTCGAAACGTGTGTACTCGCAACATTAGTCGTTTCCACTGCAATTGTAGGCAAAGAAATCCCTCCAGAGAGAGAATCGAATCCACAATCTGCTGCTGATAGGTTAGCGTGGTTAACTACTGGCCACCGAGGGGAGATGTCATGAGCAAAAATCGTACGACGCGTTTACTCAAGAATGTATCGGTCGACCACACGGGTATTTTGTGATCGGCAAGAGTCCCAGCACAGACCATCAGCTTTCGTCAAGCGCGCTTAAAGATTGCCGTGCGGTGAGGGCGGTTGCCTTTGACGGAGACTTTCACACACGTACGTGCCTCCAAAAATAGCACTCTGGAACTGTGTGATCTACTTCAGTGCCATTCTTGTTTTTTCCCTTTGCCGTCCATCGCTCTGCTGCTGAAACTTCCAAATCCATGCTGCGTGTCTACGAATAAAATGCGCACCCTCTGACAGCGGGAGCTACGATGAGAGCGTGCGGATCTGGGATGCAAGAACCATTCGCGAACCCGTGTCGTGCACCCCAACCGGGGGGGGGTTGTGGCGATTAAAGTGGCACCCAGATCCCGACCGAGGAAATCTTCTCCTTGCCGCCTGCATGCACGCGGGGATGCGTGTCTTGGACACGGGGATGGACATAAGTCATACCCTGGGGCACGGGTCGCAATCTAGCTTGGCCGGGAACGGGGAACTCGAGGTGCCGAAGGGGATAGTGGCCAAATACACACGACATGCTTCAATGGCGTACGGTGCGGATTGGTGCCTGTTGCCAACGATGCTGCGAAGTCGCTGCGCGGTGATCGCGAGCTGCTCCTTCTACGATAGTCTATTTTGCCTTTGGCAGACGACCCCGCTGTGGGCCCAATAGGTCCATAGACGTGACGATAGCATGGCGTACTATGCATACATGGAGAGTTGGAAGCAAACTGAGAATGCAACGCGTGCTTTCCGTGAAAGATGTTCGTGTTTCTCTGGATGCCTCATAATGCTGGGGTAACTATATTTCAGCCTGACCAGATTCCCGCGATTGGTGGGGCGCCTGGCCTTTATATATACTTCTATATATATATATATATTTTTTTTTTTTAATGGTCTTGGCATGGCCTGCCACCCCTGCTGAAGTCACGGTTGTTGGTGTTGTCTTCGTTGTTGTCGTCTATCCTATGTGTTCAATGCCATCAAGTTAGCAAGTCATCTTTAGTGAGGGGAAAGTGGTTGCCTGCTGTTGAGGGTGTGGTTGCTCTCGAATGATCAACGGTGGCGATCTGATCCAGCCACTGATTGGTAACACTGTACCTCCCAATCGGAACGAGACGTGTCGTTTCTTTGTTCGGCGGGATGACAAATGAAGAGATGCAAAAACGTAGCCAAATATGGAGGCTAAAGCGGTTAGTCGGTACCATTGTAAACATGTACCACACAAACTACACCGATTTTGGCATGAGGACTGGTAGAAATACTTCCTCTGACCTTGCCGAAGACATAATCCCTCTTCGGGAAGAAGGAGCAACGCGCGTGAAGAACACGATCAGCAGTGCATTGGTGGCGTGAAATGTTTGCCGGCATCCATCGCTAACGCAGGTTCATTTTGTTACATATTGGAACAGACGTGTATTGAAACAGACGTTGCGTATGGTGCCTCGACAATCAGGGTAGGGTTTCGGTGAAAGGAGCGCTGGGTACGAGCCGCAGCAGCAACAGCAGGAGCCATCAATTCAGATTGAAAAGCGGACGATGTTGGCAAGTGCGTCCTCGCTCTCTCTCTCGTAGCTAGGGCTGTGTCGATCACGTTCCCCTCACTTCCGAGCTCAACATTGTTTTCGGCTGGGGGTCGACAACGGGATATTCGTTCCACAGGGGGCGAGACGGCCAATTCTCTGGCGTCAAATTCGCAGGACATGCGAGTGGCGGTCTTGTGAAGAACATCGCTTGAACCACCACAATGAATCCGTTCCTTAGGGATCCTGCGTGAAGCAAGACGCTTGCAAAAAATCGTCGCTTTTCCGAATCGATCTCGGAAGAGGGAGCAAGTTTGTCCTTCCCTCCCTTCGGTATTGAATAGGGATCAACCATTCCGCTAACTTCGAGCGTAGTAACGGCGGTGCATTAGGAGCAACGCAAGCACTCGTTTTCAAGTATTTGAGGTTCTTGTACCGTACTGTGAACTCTGAACGAGCTCAACCCCTTCTACCCTTCGTACTCATCCACACGGGTTCGACACAACCATTAACCTGCTAGCCACCAAGTGCAAGTAACCACACGAAGCGCGATCGCCCTCTGGACCAGCCCTCTTGTGCATTTTTGCAATATAGTTGAGCCCAAAATGGAAGTTCAACCCTTCGAGAGGATCCATTTGTTCCTCTCGCAGAGGCACCACAATTCTAGTCTAGATAGTAATTTTCAAGACACAAACACCTACGCAGACGCCATCTTGACTACTAATGATTACGGCATCGTAGCTGCCGACTCAACTAGGCGGCGAAGCTAGCTCTATGCTTCGGGGGAGTCAACGGCATCTGCGGCTCCACGTGTCTTGGGTGTGTGACTGTCGCCCGTCTGTCACCCCGCCGGCTGGACAGGCTGTGCAAGGGACTAAGGTTTTGAAGCGGGGAGGGGGGGCGGTAGGACGGAAGTGGGGCAAGGTAACGGATAAATTTTAGGGACGGATGGGGACTAAACGGGATCGAAAACCGGCAACGATATCATGGCTGAAACCAGAAGAAAAAAAAAAACGTTCGTTAACCCTCGCCACAATCGGAATCAAACTCGCATCCGAACCTGTTGACGTTCTTCTTGAGGGTAAAGCTGCGCCCTCTGCGAGACGAGCGAAGGGGGGTGACCGGGCTGCCCTTTCGAGTTCGTTTGTTGCGGTATAACCGGAGAGCAAATGCCCCTCCCTCGCGAGAGCGTAGGCTGTTGCAAAAAAGGATGAGCGGCCAGGGTAGGGGCTGGGTCGACCTTGCTCTTCTGCAGGCAGTCAGGAGTCTCTGAATGAGGCCATTCGCGCCACTGGATTTCTGTCTATCAGACCCTTCGTCTCGCCGTCATCACCGAGAGACAATGCTGGAGTTGCAGTACAACATTCAGCACTCATCCGTTCAACCGACGTTCCGAGGACAACAACATAAGCGTACTACAGTAGGCCTTGCCGCGAAATCACCAGACGTTCGAAAACCCGTGCACCACACCTCTTGATCACTTCCACATATCCTCGAGGAAGCAGACGCGGATCGTACTCCACGAACACATCGGCGGTCTCTTCAGGAAGAAGGACAGGGAACGCCAGAGCTGCGAAAGTAATGTCCGCTGCGCTGATGCTGTCGCCGCATAGGTAGGCCCGCCCGTCGGAGAGCAAGCGCTCCACCATTCTGCAGGCGATGGGATATGAATTGACTGAAGGGGTTTGGTGTGCGGAGCATTCGGTTGACACTGATCACAAGGAAGGATAAAAAAGTACGCCTCTCTCCATCTCTTAATAAATGCGTCGTCCAGAAAATCCGCCGCTGATGCTACATCCCGCCAAACTCGAACTCAACCGGCGTTTCATGGCGAACCGACTACTCACCCGAATGTTTTCTCGATGGTCTTCATGTTGCTCCTAATGCCCCCTTCCAGACGCAGACGCTCGTTCATCATGTTCACCAGACCCACCCCAAGCGTGGGCATGAGCAGTCGCTGCCACAGCGGTAACCCGCGAGAGAACATCTTGATCGTTTCACTCCGCATCTCCTGTACCGCAGCAGTCGGAGGAATCGATGCGACTTGGAAGTGCCCGATGATGCCAAAATGTAATCACCCGTAAAGATGAACAGCACGTGAAATACAACCACAGGAGTCAACTTATCTGCGGTCACTTGGTGAATCATGCATGTGGCCTGCAGAGAATGTGTCTACGGAATGCATCAATCGGGAAGATTGACACGGGGAAGGAGGCCAAGAACACCAACAACGACCACAACTTTCTCCAGTACCTTTTGAAAAAGGTAGGCATACGCCACACTCATCACTGCCTGACCGAAAGCGTGTTCGAGTTCCTTCTCTAGCTCGTGGGCGCCTTCGGGATACATCCAAGCACGCCATCTAGCCGTTGACAGGTGTTCTGGGTAAAGAGGAGCAGCCGGCAGGTCAAATTTACGGGCTTCATGACCCAAATACTCTCTTCGTGGTGCAGTCAAGACACGCTGGGAATAGTTATCAAAAGCCATTAGGAAACAAGAATAGCGCTAGATTTCGGGTTACCAACAACTATTGTGCTCTCAGACCCCCTCCTCTTCTTGGCATCGACGTGTCGTACTGTAGGCCACGCGAGAACAAACGGAAATGCGTCTTACCCAAAAGAGCGGGAACAGTCTTGAGGCGCTCGCCCCGGCCTTCGTTTGTTGATATTACCGGCAGGGAATCGTCCGCACCGAGAGAATGGTACATGGCGGTAGGTCTTGCAAGAAAAATGGCAACCGGAACCTGGGTTACGGACAATAAGAACAGGTTCTCATTAACAAATATGGATGGGTATAACACGGGATATCCCCAAACTGACGCGGGAAAGAACGCTATCCCCGAGGGTAAAACAGGTCTAGACCTTCGCTTGCTCGTACAAACCAACGCGCGGTGCCTTGAGCAGGCTGCGCTTCGAACAGACACGTGATTGCGCCCCCGGCGCTTCATTCCCGACGCGCACCGACGGGGGTTTTCACAGAGAGGCCTATCGGTGTGGTGTTGTGATCTTAATGGTGTGTCTCCGCTTCGGTGCGCTCGGCCCTTCCAACATGTGAGGTGTACCGGCGGAAAACGCACGTCTGTGAATTGGTGCGGGCCAAGAACTGGTGTTGCCCCAAGGAATGAACACAGCACAGCACAGCAGTTCAAGCTTGTGGGTAGCACTCGGAGCCCATCCAAGGTCGGAGGGCGGGATGAGGTATGCGAACGAGCCATTCGCACGGGGTCCGACACAATCGAAGACTATTCCATCAACGGCGTGTTTCCTCTTTATTGTAGAATAGTGTGCTTCCAACTCCGAGCGGTGACGTCCTTCATACAAGGCTCCCCTTCGGGAGTAGGGGGCTTGCCTCCCGGGGCGACGCAAGAGGACGTGGCCTGTGTCATCGCGGTCGCATGGTTGCATCCCAACGCCATGGCCTGCAGTACTGAGTGCCGGTTTTGCGTACTACCTGCAGCATTTGCCTGGAACTCATTCATGTGCGGGTTAGTTTCTTTCTCGCTGTGGCTTGTGCGTTAGTGTGTGCTGTTTGGCTAGTGGCGTCTTGGGCTCTTTGCTGCAGGTTCTACTACTGTCACCCCCTGCGTTTGATCACTCGTTCTGACGTATTCGTGTTGCCCACGGTCTGTGGGACTTGTGTGCGTTGCGCAGGAAAAAACGGAAGTCTCCTTGTTTATGCAAAGCAGTTCTTTTTGTACTTCTTGCGAAGGCTTTCTTCGCGCGGGAGACGTCCCCGGGGTATAGAGCCAATATTTCAACTTTGGGCGTAACCGCCACGGGTGTCTAGCGGTCCTCGGGCGCTTGCGGTACTCTGTACCGACGGTCCTCATGCGTGCCCATGAGAAGGAAGCGTGGGAAAAGACTCTTCCGCCAGCTAAGTATGTCTCCAAGCACGAAAACAGGCGAAATGGTACATATACATATTTCTTTGACGTTGTTTCAAGCTTGGGTGTCTTTCATCACACGTGAAAACCGTTCTCTTCATCTCGTTTGTTCGCCTACCTACGAAAGGACAGTTCTCACCTCGTGGAACACCTCCCCCGATAGCTCAAGTGCCCAGCGGAGCTTCTCTGTGTAGTTGTTATAGCGCAATGTGAACATCCGGTTCGCCTAAATTTGGTACACCGCACGGAAGAGGAAGAGCATCGGGGGTTGGCGTTTGAGGCTACAACAATTACTTTGCCATCAAAACGGTGATACACCTGGATACATTGCCTCGTATTGTAAACCGAGGCTCGCTATCTCAGGTTCGGGAATTGCCCACGTTCGTCGAGGACATTCACTTCTTCAGCAATAGTTTAGAACCATACGGGAGGTGCACTGGACACAACGGGATGGTGCAGTTTCAGATGCTAAGACAGCAACAACATCACTGGAGGCAGTCAGGGGAAACGGGGTGGCGTGACCTTTTCGCTTTTTTTTTCCGAGGTGCACGACTATGCACCACCTTGGTTAGGTCGCGATATCTTGGTGTCTTGGTGCAGCATAGACAATAACTCTTCCAATACTTTGCTCGTGGAGGCCGCCAACAACTGTTGGGGGGGACTATGAACGTCTTCATTTATCCATGATTCCGGCAAAGATCCCATTGTGGTACCACATATCGTCACATCGTATCCGTGAGAGTGGACAAACTCGCAGGACCTACATATATATTGTAAGCGAGAACAAGAGGTACGATATATGACGACACGCTACTTCCGGCAAAATGGTTTGTGGGGAATGGTAAGCAAATGGCTTGTCGCAAGGTGCCGAAGGAAACACTCGCGAGCGACAGAAGAAGGGGGGATTCGTACACGTGGTTTTCATTGGACAACGCCAACAATACGAGAACAAGTATGAAACTATCAACGTTTCGCCACCCTTAACTACCGAAAAATGGTCGATAGTAGCTACGCGGAAGGCTCCCCCGTCAGTTGGACAGGATGGGAGTGTGAAGGTACTGAGCAGAGACCGGAAAGTATTTGAATGTGAAGGCATCAACAACCACAACAACACACGACACAATAACTGTACACACATATACCATGTACTTCTACAGACATACAGGCTACGGTAGGTTGAACTATGTGTTTTCCTGTGTTGCCCTACTTCACCTGGCTGGCCGGCGAGTACCTAGTGCTCATGAACCGACATGCCCACGGCCGCATACATGAGGGTACACGTTTGAACAGCTGCAGCCGAGTCTTGGTGATGGCCACTGCTGTTGCTTCGAACAGTAAGAACAAGCGCGAGCTTGTCGGTCGACAACTGCCGGCCTCTCTCGCAGAGGTTAGCTTGCGGTTGGTCTGCTCTTGTCGGTGCTGCATACAAACGGCGACGGAGAGAGACGACGAGACCACATGTCATGTGTGAGAGGTTCGTGATGGTGAAGTCTCCTGTGCTTGGAAGGTAACGAACGGCAGACAGCCGACACGACCTCCCGAGGGAACCTTCATGCTCATCTCTCTGGCTCAGAGGTAGTGCGAACGAATTGGGTTGGACATCGCGAGATAGACCGGAGGATAGAAAAAAAAAAAAATGGTTGTGCTGGAGAGCTGGGGTGTGTGTATACCTGGTGTCGAATCCACAAAGCCAGGCCAAGTCCAAGCACCAGTCCAGCCCAGACCGAGAGGCCTCGTTCACTACCTCTGAGCTCTAGCATCGTAGTCGCTAGAGAATCGTCATCAAGCTGTGAGAAGGAGATGTTATGTGTGTATCACGTTGACCCATCATTTCCTTGCTTGCGTTGAAGGTTTTGAAGGGTTGAAGCCGGGGGAATACAATGCGGCTGGATTCGAAGAGTTACAAAACGCGAATCGAACCACACGAACCTATCGAAAGGGCACAAGATTCGCTATTTTTTTTTTCTCCGGAGAAGCGAGCGGCTGCCCGCAGAGTCTGATCCGGTAGTCTGTGAGACGTGAAGGTGATGGCATCCAAACCTTCAGGAGAAATAGCAAAAACTTTGGTGGGCAGAGACGGAGCGGCCTCCACCTCTTCTTCGGACGAACAGGGGACCCGAGAAGGCGCCGCCACGCATCATGGAGCTTTGTCGATCACCCTCCAGAATGGCGAACTTCGTGCAAGCACCGCGCACAAAGATATCGGCGATACTGCCACAACCAGGTTGTCCGAGGTGGAGATTGGTCCGTCGTCATCATCCACAAGCAAACGCGTACCAGCTACATCGACCTCAGGGGACCATGAAACGGCGAACCCGACGACACGGGCGGCGCAGGAGTCCACCGAGGGCATCGACCCAAGACCATTGCTTCCAGACGACCAGCAAATCGCCCGAGATCGAACCCCGGGTATCACCGTCGTAGATGGCAGCGGCACTGGTGAAAAAAGCAAGGAGCGAATGGCCCTCGCTGTGCTGGAAGAGGCGATTGATGATGGAACTACGGTCAAGACTGCCGGGACATTGTTTTTCACAGCACTAGAGGTGAACCGTGGGGCCTCGTCTGCGTGCGTACGGGGGTCATGCTCATCGGCCACTGTTTGAGCGCTACAATGGTTACTTAGTTCTTAGAACCGCACGACCTTGTTTTGATATTGTCGTTTTAGCGGTCAACATCAATACAAGCCATGAAACAATTGTGATCTCTGTTCCGCACGCCCCTTTCAGTACCCTGGCAGCAATTTTTTTCTTGTCAAACAACGGAAAATGCGCACAACATTTTATTGGCCTGCGAACACAATTAATATCTTCTGTTTGCCTCAGGCAATCGATCTTCCGGGAACGGAGAGCCATGGAGGCCTCTTGGGGTACGACCGGCAGAATTTCTACCTCTCGATGAGTCTTGAGATTGACAATGGGCGCGCACAGAAGAACGCCACAAGCGTGCAGGAAGGAACGAATGGGGCTGTCCAGTGGGGCCTCGAGACAATAACAATGAAGTTTGGCAATGCGGTGGACACTGTGATCGTCGAGGCAAGTCCAGTTACATGTAGGAAACATACTGTAAATCGTCATGTAGTGACGATTTAGCGAACTGAGATTGTGGTTCTTTGGAAAAGCCCACATGCACCACACCAGTTCTGGATTCCATTTGAAGGGTCGAAACACGCCGACATGCGTGCAAGCAGCATCCTTCGTTGCTTCTTGCCCGCCAAGAACAACCATCCATTCGCACCGTCACCCAAGTAGAAACGCCTTGGCGTCGAAGCTTCACTCATATTCTTCCTACGCTTCGGCTATTTCTTGGGGATAGGTTTGGAGCGAGAACCCCGGCAGCGACGTCATCATCGGCAAGGCAACGATCACGCCGCGGCACGTGCGTGCGTTGGCTCTCCTCCAAGACCACAGTGCGCGCATCCGCTTGCCGCTGTCACAGCAACGCAACAGCAGCCGGGCCCAAACTCGCGGCGTGTTCGTGGCACGTGTAAGACTTGTCCTTGACGCGGATGATCCACCAAGGGTTGCAGCGCTCGGTCTAGGGCACTCAGGCATCGGCAGATGCCGAAGTGGTGAGAAGGAAACCAAGAAGGCGAAGGCCGGGAGAGCTCTGGACCACTCAGCCACCGGATACATCGTGTGTTCAGGTTTCACGGCGTATGACCTTCCGCCAACGGAAGGATTGAAGTTCGGTGGACGCCAAGACCCATACGTGAAGGTTGCTCTCGGCCCAGTGGCGGAACGAACGAGTTCTGTAACCGGGGGCGGGAACCTGTGCGACTGGACAGGCCAGCCTCTGCGTTTCCGGGTGGATTCAGGCCAAACAACGCGAAAAGGGTGGGGTCACGGTCTGGCGGTGGAAGTACGGAATGGCAATCAGCCTCGGAGGGATGCTCTTATCGGGAAAGGTCTCATAAGACCTGAAAAAATTTTGGAGCTGCAAAACCGTCCCGAGCAAGGCGGCTTGTCTTGTCGTGTAAAGCTCTCGCGACAGGGCAACGGCCGCAAAGGCACGTTGAGCATGGTGATAACCTTCTATCCCGACCCGCCGGGCACAGCACTTGGGTCAGAGGAACAGGTACCGCTTCGAGAACCTGACACGCCTCGACAGCCCGGACAGGGGTCCAACTTAATACTGATAACTAACGTTATGGTGAAAGATCTAAGCGACATCCTTGCATTCGGCTGTGGTGCTCTGGACAAGCCGGAGCCGTACGTGGTTGCCCGAGTTGGTGTTACCGAGAGAACCACACCGGTAGCTGGAGTCGTGAGCGGGAAGTCGACCTGGGCCGACACCTGCCTCGCCCTTCCGGTTGCGGATGAGGGTTTGGGTGTCCTATCGACGTTGCGATTGGAACTGTGGACGTCGAACCCCGTCCAGGACGACCAAGTAGGGTACGTCGAGGTGGACCTTGCGTCACTTTCGAATGACCGTGAGTTCGGCAGCGGCGCACCTAGCTCAATCCCAAGTGGTGTGCGAGTTCCGCTTGACCTCCCACTGCTGTGCCTCACCGGCGCAGGTGGCGATGAATTTGGAGACATTACCCTACCAACCCTTTCGTGCAGTGCTGCGCTGCAGACTAAACGTGGCGGTTGCGACCGGCTGAAAGAGGCGCTTCGCAACCCTCAAAGTAAGTCACCTGGGGAGACCGTCACTCTCCCAGCCATCGGGCCAAATGAGGGTCCTGGTGTCTTGAAGGTGATGGTTCTCGGCATAGCTTTGCACGAGGATGTCGAAGCGCCGGAAGTACGATTGACGCTGTTTCCAGGGAAGCGGTTCGCGACCACGCGCCCGCTACTGGAGATCGGCGGCAACCCGAGTGAGCAGGACGGAGACAAGAGCAGCGTGACCGGCTCGTGGAACCAAGAGCTTGATATCCCGTGTTATGCCACAGATTTTGAGGCGCTCGACACGGTTGTCTCGCTGCAGGCAGACGTCGTTGTGGCCGGGGTGCTGGCGGGACAGAGAGTTCTTGGACAAGGGCAGGCTGAGGTCTCAGGCGTGATTCAGGCACGACGAGAGCAAGAGATAAATCTGGACATCGTCTCTCTCAACAGAGGAGCAGCGCCGCACACACTTGGCCAGCTATCGCTTTCTGTTCGGTTTGAGGATGCATGGGAGACCCCACGACATGACTCTTTGCCTAGCCCGGAAAGCCCAAGCGGACCGCAAGCGAAAAGCCTACATTGCCCTGGAATCCTGCGGATGTTTGTCGTAGACGCGAGAGAACTGTCGGGGCTGAAGCGACATCAGGACCCGTACGTGGTCGTCGAACGAATAGCAGTTGATCCGACGATCCCCTGCCAAGCCAAGCCATTCAGCAGTGCGGCGGCGGTGGTCGGAAAGGGAAGACAGGCACGGTGAGCTTCTAGGCAATGCTGTGGTGTTGCTCGAACAGATATTCTGTCGCTCCTGTTCAAGATGTCGTGCGTTTAATGCTGCCAGCACAATCGGTGGCAAGAAGAGTAGCGAGTTCCGCCGGGTAGTACGCCAAGGCTAGAGAAACGTCCATCGGAACCTTGCAGGATTCGAGTTTACAATCATCGGGACGAACTCCCCGACTGACTCCAATACGGTCGTGCAGGTGGCTCGAGAGCTGCGACCTTCGGGTAGGACAGTCTGAAGCTGACTTCCTGCGGGGCCAGGCTGGAGGTGGTTCGATAACACTTACAGTGTCCTTGACAGACAAAGATGTACGCGGAGGCGACGAGCCAATATCTTCACTCGAGTTGGTGGTGACCCCGGAGTCGCTAGCAGAGAGGGATTCCTCGGTCCTGTGGCACCAGCTTTTCTCACAGGTTGGAGAATCACCCCCATTTTCCCTGTCGTAGACTATAATCGTCTCACCCGCTTCTGTTCGTGCTTGTCTTATGACGTAGCGAGACGGCGGGCGAGTAGAAAAGGGTCGTGAACCGTTTTTTTGCAGCGTTTTGGCCATCGTTGGCATGAACCCCCCAATATCGTGCCACGGGTCGGTCTCTTTGTTCTGCGACACGTAACGAAGAGGTCGAGTCGTAGGTAAATTGTCCCTCTCCCCGCTCATCGAACCTGCATGAAACACAACCAACCCTCGCTTGCTTTCAAACCATTGAAAAGGGGCGAGATCGCGGTTTCATCCGTTTGGGGTGCTGTTGGATCCCTGCTGCCCTTGAGCCGGTCAATATATGCGGATTGAGGCCAGAGGAAAGGGTGGAGACAGGAACGCTTTACCTCTGGCTGAAAGAAGGGAGACAACTCGTCAACCCAAAGTGAGCACCGCAGGGTTAACTTCATTTGGGGCTGTTGAGTTTCCGAAGCAGGAGAGTGTCAAGTCCTTTGGGAAACCTTTTCGTCAGGTGCACGAAGGTAGGACGACCGCGCACCAAATTCTCCGGTGACGGTTCTCCACCGCGAGATAGTGGTAGGAACCTCAAGGTTTTCCTCGAGACTAGGTGTGCACTTACCTAACAAATCCAGCCACGCTCACGACGTCAAATCACCCCGCTGTCTCATAGTCCTGCGGCTCAGCGCGTAAGAGGTCTGCCACCCACGTGCGAAATCGAGCTGCGGCCGTACGAAAAAGTGGGTCGCAAGAAGGCGAGGGAGATCCTGGGCTGCGCACGTGTGCCGGAAATGGATAACCCTGATGTAGACGTCGGAATGTTCCACAAGTTCCTGAAGATGGATTTCGCCCAGGCAACTTCTCTCGCAGACAACGACCTGGCGGACACGTCGCCGAGCTGTGTTTTGACCGTGTACACCAAGTGCGGCGAAAAGAAGGTTGTGTCGGGGAGGGCAGAAGTCCTTCTCGCGAGCTTGTGCGGCTATAAAAACCTTAATGGAGAAGCCGTGCTTCGGAGTCCACATCGCCGTCGGGGTAACCCCAACAGTAACACAGCAGGAGGGAGTGCTCACACTGTAGCATTTCGACAATTCGGAAACGAGCGGGTATTGGGGTGTGACGAGGCGGAGCGTTTCAACTGCCCTGTGGCGGCGATGGACAAGGTGATACCCCTTCTTGAGGACGACCGAAGTTATTCTGATGGTGCCAACCAAGGAGGGGGTCCTCTACGCATGCGCAATGCTGGGCGGGGCGGGGAGCTGAGGTTGCGGGCACTATACGTGCCGGACAGGGTCGCAGATGGTCTGGGGGTGAGGGCGGCCATCAAGGTGAGACGGAAGGCTAGCTGGCGTGCTGAAACAACACCCCCAAGAGTGCACTACAGTTGGTCCGCAAAAAAACTCTTGAGACTTGGATGTACTCTTCTTGGGCGATGGTGGCAACACATGACACGGAGAGACCAAAGTTGGGGGGGGGGGGTATACACAGGAGTGGTAGAGATGATCCGTGGGAGGCCGTCGTCGGGGCTTCTTTATTTAAACTCGCTTGCAATCCTTCGAGGAGGGTGAAAATACCGTCGAACGGCAGAAGCCGTGGCCTCGTAAAACCGTTCTCACCAGCTCATGCCTTATGTGTTTGGTGGCAATATTTCCTTGAATGTGTCGGCAGGCTCTGTCAAGGGCGGCGGAAAAATCAATGCAGTTTTTCACTGAAAACCCAGCTGCGGCTCTTTCACGAGCTGCCGATGACGGCGGTGGGGTAGGCGATAGCCAAGCACTGGACTCCAATGCAACGGCGCTGCCGGGGGCGTTGGACGTGCACCTGATCCGAGCGACCGATTTGGAGTGGGTAAGTGGAGCTTACTCGAGAGCGTGCTCACGATTTGCTCTCTTCTCGTGACTACGCGTCGGTTGTGTTGTAGAAGTATTGCAGAACAAATGCGTGCACGTTGTGCGCGGTCGTACCGAAGAGTCGCTTTTCTTACCGTTCTGAACCAGACGTGGACACCACGGAGGAAAGCACGTTCACGCTTAATGAAAAAAACATGCTCTTTTGGGCTTTGCAACAGCGTCGTGTGAGTACCGAGTAGATTGCGTGGTGGGACCTCGTGTGGCGTGATCTCTCTCATCCCACTTGAGGGAATGCTAATGCCGTATCACGCTATTTCGGGGCGCACGGTACGCACGCATCGCTGTGCCGCAAACGACCTACCTGCATAAACTGAAAAGTGGCTTTCTTCGCTGTCTTTGCTGTGACCCTAGGTGGAGGAAACCGTCGACCCGATCGTTCAGCTGAGGTTATTGTGCTCCGCCGGAGCTGAGTTGCACACGAGGTAGGCTTGCTCGAAAGGAAATATGAAGTATGCCTTGGCCCGTTTCGTCCAGACCAACAAAAAGCTCGACATACCAACCATTTCGTCGTCGCGGTGTTGTAGCTCTGGGTCCTTCCGACTGTCTTGAGAGTCTGACTCTTCCTGGTTGCACGTGCGCCTCATCACGGGCTTGCGAAAGCCCATCAAGGCCTTTTTTATGGATCGTTGACGGCACTTTTTCACCGCGCTGTTTCCACCACCAAAAGTGCGGTGGGCCAATGGAGCGGCACAAGCGTGGAATGGAACCACCAATTCTCTCTGCTGGTGGACGACGCCAACGTAGAGATGCTGGAAGTTCGTGTCTTCGACGGAAATGGCTCTCAAGGGTGCCACAAGCCTATCGCATGCTGTAAAATACCTTTGAGGAGGTAAGAGGGTCAATTAACACCGTCCGAAATCACCCCCATTCGTCTATATAACCGTGCAGGTTAAAACGATGCACCCCCGATAACATTTTCTGAACGTTGAGCAGATAAACAAGTTCATATTGTTGATTTTATGTTTGTTGGTGCGCAGGCACATTCATCTTAGGTCATTTTCATTTTCAAGCGCATTTTCGAACCGTCCAACACTATTTCCAAGACATTGCTCAGAAAACCACCTATTTCTAGACGGTTCTACAATCGACCCGACTAATTACGGTTATCGTGGCACGTTGCGTCTGCTACTTCCAGGTATGCGCAAAATTACTACTCCTTGCAGGTGCTCGGTATCGGACAGATCACGCCGGAGAGGTTGAAGCTGACGGACCATCGAGGTCGAGGGTTTCGTGGACATGCAGTTATTTCCTTGAACTTTCTCCCCGAGGCAAGCACGTCTGGACCATTAGACATGGGAGGGGGTCACTCCGATGGTGTTCAAGTGAATGGACACCCGTGTTCACGAAAACCTTCTATCCCTCAAGTACTTGCCGCCGCTCTGATGCGGCGAACAGAGCACGATTGATACGATGTTTGTAGTTGCCGCGCCCGTGTACCTCAAGACCCTTGCTTCGCAAACCGAGCCACGAGTAGCTCAGGCTCAACCAGCTGTCCCTGAGAACAGGCAACCGGTGAGGAACCCTAGCCTGCTGCCAAGGACCGACTCCCTTTGCCCGGCAACGAACGGACACCCATGTACGCTATTGTATTGCAGTCACACAAAGTATCCAATCTGTTCTTCCCACCCGCACGCGGTTGCCTCTCGATCAGGTCGTGGGTCAGGCACACATCCTCCGGGAAGCGTTCGCCCCGACGAATAACCTTCTCCCCTCCTTGCCAGCTAACGTTACGGCGCCACCGCACCGACCACCGACCTCCGGCGCTACCGCTAGCCCGGCAACGACGGCTGCCATCCACGTTCTTGTCATATCCATGGATGGCGGTGATGTGTCTCGTGAGGACCGCCTAAGGGTGCGCGTTTCTCTCGCGGAGGATTCTGACGAATGGGGAGCCAGTGAACGTCTTGGCGGGGTGACAAGCGCAGCAACCTCTCGAGTTGGCGTGGTGGATGAGGAGGCGGCCGTGTGTAGCTGGAATGGTCCAGGACAAGCGGTAGGTACTCAGGACTGGGTCTGTGTTGGGATAACGATTCTACTGTACTCGGAAAAGGTCTGTTTTCTAATAATATTGTGCTTAGTAAGCTGCGACGCAACGGGGATGAGCAGGTGACATCCCGCTGATCGCGACCATTGAGACGACCGGGGACTCTTGCGTCTTCCCCCCTTCTCGACAAGCGTTACATATTATATGTCGTTTGTGGTGCATGCCCATTACCTCACCTGTGAATGTGTTGTCATGGCATAGCGGCCGAACGAAAGTACTCCTGCCACTGTGAGCCGCTTCGCGTCGTGAGTTGACTACACTCTGCACACGCAGCAACATGCCGTGCCACGTATTCTGTACATTGTAGTACCCGCCCATGACACCCCAGTCTTGTGACATTCTTCCCATCTGTCTAAGCGGCGGCATGCTCACTGCTCGTGTTTCTGTCAACTTCAAGCTCGACGGTGACGAGCCCTCAAACACGGCGGCCTCCGGAGAGCTGCTGACACTTCCATGGGACCCTCGCCTGGCCTTATCCGGCTGGGGCCGAGGACGTGCGTCGGTGCTTAAGTTCGAGGTATCCCGCGGCCCCGGGCGTCCAGTGGAGTGGACCGGATTCGTTCCTACTGCTGGTCTTGTTCACAGTCCTCGGTGTGTCTTCGAGAGGGCAATCTGTCTAACAGGAAGACTGGGTTCCGAGCCGCCAACCTCGGCCCGCACGGCTGGGTCGACGGGGGCATCAGCCGAGAGACGCACAGTATCACTCGAGGTGGCTATGATGTTCCAGCCTGTCTTCCCGGCAGGTATTCGTGGAGGTTCGAGAGCTGCCGGGGTCGTGTCACGGGGGGTGGTTCATCAAGAGGACGCAAGACGGCAGTCGTTCGATCACCGGCCATTCCACCCAGACTTGCGAAGAATCGCCTGCGAAGGAGGGGAGTTGGTCGTGCACTGCCTACGAGCAAGGAACTTGCGCTTGCCTCGGCAAGAGAAGTCGGTGGAGTCACGAGATGCTCAGCCTGAGATCTTCCTGACTGTCCTGCCTGATGGAGGCGAGGTCCAAACTTCGACGTCGTACATGGGACCGGGTGGGCGGCATCCTGTTTGGGGGCAGGTACCTGCAGTATCATGATAGGCAACAACCACCCGCTAGCAATACTCCCAAACACACTTGGTTTCGACATCTGTTGCCGCGTTCCGTCGTAGAACGCGTTGATCGGACACATTTTGCGCCCCAGTTGCCCTGGCATGGTGCTTTTACCCCCCATCCCAACTGAAACCGTATTACCAAAATTTGCACAGTTTGAGGGAAAACCGAGAAACATCCACGGCATCGTTTGACAATTCGTCTACATTGCGTGGCACAGAGCGGCGAAAATTTCATCCAAACTCAACCAAGGCATTCCCCCCTTGCCCACCACAACTCACTCCTCCCTCCATTCGCCCGCAGAGTCTCACCCTATCCATCGCGGACGCAGCCACAGCTCGCGTTGTGGTGCGGGTGAGAAACGTAAATCAAGTCTTGGAAGACAACGTCCTTGGCGAAGTAGAGCTGTCTTTAGCGGGGCTCATTGCTGCAGAACATGGCGTGGCCGCCGCCGCCGCTCTCCCTGGATTCTCCGGTCGCCTCGAGCGTCCACCCAGCGGGTCTTCGTTGCGTGTGAGCCTGGACAAGGAAGTTGCTTCAGACAGACAGGAGCTTGCCGACAACAGTTACGGCTCCGATAGCGAGGATCATGTGGACACGGAACGATTTCCAGGCCGCAAACGAGAACCATCTGGAAAAAATCCGGTAAGCCCGCATAAGATCAAGCCGTGTGGGGTCGAGGCCTGGTTCCCTCTTTTCGTCGCCGGTCGGCAAGGGGGTAGCAGGGAGCGAGAAGTCGCCGGCGAGGTGCGGCTTTGCTGCCGTTTTCTTTCGACGGACTTCATGATGCAGAGAGAGGTCACAGCCGGGGCGGACGAAGGGGATAACGGCCCTGTCGGTGCGCTGAGATATGCGTTGGAGCGGCGACCTGGTCGGCTCTTCATGACGATAAGGTGCTGTCGGGCCCTGCCGAAAGCCATGATCGGAGAAAGGGCCCCTCTAGTAGAGGCCAGACTGCGGCACGGGGGTTGGCAGTGCAGTACTCGGCGGCAAACGGGACTGAATCCGGTGTTCAACGAGAACATGGCTGTGGACGTGCTGTGGACACCACAGGACTTCAATAGTCCAGAGGTGATTCTTGAGGTGAAAGACAAGGCACTCGGCGGGGGGCTTCTAGGTGAGTCGAGGCTGAAATGCACCTCCCATTCTGCGCTAAATCCAGGCTCAACATTCGGGATGACATCGTTCGGAAACAATGTTCTTAACTCATCTCTCTTACCGTATACTTATCTCTCTCTTTCTCCGTCCATATATATTTCTCTCTCTCTCTCTCTCTCTCTCTCTCTCTCTCTCTCTCTCTCTCTCTATCGGCCAGCTGCCGTACGCGTGGCGGTGGCCCCCTTCATCCTCCATCCGATGATGCCAGCAGACATTTGGATCCCGTTGCTGGGCGGAGCAGGAAGAGAAACTAATTCAGGGATATATATCGGGCTCATTTACATTCCATCGGTGGACGAGATACGAAACATGGATGAGCACTTGTCAAGGAAGAATCCGACCAGTTTCTCCATCAACAGCATCGAGCACATTGCTGATCCCGAGTATTCCGCCGTGTTACGTCGAGCCCGACGTGGGGTTGTCCACGTACAGATCATGTCAGCCCGAGGCCTCCCTGCTTCTTCCAAAGACCCTCAAGTGGGGGTGCGGCTCAGAGTCGGGGACCACTGCGGTGGTCCATTGCCGCCGTTCCAGCGGACAGCGGCAATTCGAGGGGGTCGAGGAGAGCCACAGTTCAACTCCACATTTTTCCTAGACTTGCAACAAGATGCGCCAGGGCTTGAGGAAGAATCAAAGCGAGCTGTGCTGGGACGCACACCGATGCTAGAGGTGGAAGCTCGTTGTTGTAGAGGCAAGGGGAAGGTGCTGGGAACGGTAGAGATTCCTATATTTCCCCTTTGGTTCATGGGGCACATGACGCGCGCGTGGTATCCCATGCGTAGCTGTGACGGCGAGGCGGAGGCTGGGAGGGTATTCATCGGGCTGCAGTTCATCGCTGATGGGAAGAGCGGGGAGAACGGTGGCATGACGGCAGCTTCCGTAAGCGATGGCGCTGGCACAGTCTCCAGGCGGAGGCGATACTTGTTCTTGGAAGTGCGGCAGGGGCGGGAGCTTCGGCATACGCACGCCGAGTCTGACCGTCCAGTCGTGCACGTGGAGATGTTGGGGTCGGGGGCGAGAGGGAAAACGCCTCCAGCGAGGGGTGGGGGACCCGACCCCGCATGGGCTGACGGGGCAGGCCTCCTGGCACTACCGTACCCACTTCGTAGCAGTGGCGGAGGGTTCGGGTCCTCGAACGAGGTGCTCCGGATAACCATCCTCAACGAGCAGCGAAGACGTGGCGATGGGCAGGAGAAGGGTACAGGACGGAGTATCGAAGGAGGGGTGAGGGGAGACGGTGAGTCAAGTACCGTCATCGGGCAATGCGACTGGCCTCTGCCCACGGAGGACCTCGATTTGGGTCACCCAATCAGCTCCTGGCACGCCGTATGGACAGAAGGCATACCTGCGGGTGCGGTGTACGTGCGTTGTCGAGTGGGCTTCGAGGGCGACACAATCGATCGCGCTCCGCCTTACGATATCCAGAACGCTAATGGCGCGGGAAGCAGGACGATGTCGCCTCTCTCGTTCGGGAACTACCACGTCGAGTTTTTGGAAGTGCGAGGGTTCGAAAGGGCCTTGCAACGCATCGGAGTAGCCGCCGAAGGCGTTTTCTCTAGGCACAGCAACCAGCTGCAGTGGGAAGGCACGGCCCATCTGGCCGAGGCCCCAGGGCATAACCTTGACGGCAATACGACCTACGGCGCCTCTTCAACCCGAGTAGGGTCTGGTCGTGCTGTGGCTGTTGGCGCGAGGGGCCGTGGCGGCAGTCGATCGCTGTGCGTTCAAGTCTCTGTTGTTGGAGAACGCTTGAGCAAGGAAGGTGCAATACAAGGCACGGGGAAGACACTTAACGCGGTGTCCTATGTTCCACCCGCCAAATTGGTTCCCATTGCAGACGTCCCTGGTTCTGAGTTGTTGCAGTGGTTCCCGTGCGTTGGTGTGAAAGAAGACGCCACTGGGGTCAAACCAGGGTCTGGAGAAGAGGACACTGGGCAAGTTCTTCTCTCGATACGGTATGCTCCGTTGGCAGTGGGAATCCTCGAAGTGGCGATACGTGAGGCTCAGCTGCAGGACAATGACCGTTCATCGACTTTCGGGTCAGAAAACATCAAAGCTTTAACTCGTCTGCTGCCCGCTCAGACTGGTGCAGCCATGGGGCACAAGGTGCGGAGTACACCCGGGAGGCGAGGAGTGCGGACAAGTCTCCTGGGAGAAGACGGAGGTGACGCCTACGCAAAAGGGGGTACAATTTTTTCGTGGGACGACACCTGTCCTCACCGCATGAGGTTCAACAACGCCTTCAACAAGCAGCCGACTACGCTGCACGTGAGCGTGGTTCAGGGAGATCGCGTGGTCGGATTCGCATCCGTTGGCGTGGAGGCCGTCGTGCACGATGGAATATCGACGATGGCGCGAGAAACCGCCCAATCCACTCGCAGACCAAGGGGTAGCGCTCATGATGTTGGGCCCGTCGGGCTGAGGGAAGAGGACTTCGGGCACTCCGTGCAAGCATGGTACCCACTGCACGCACCGGACGATAAGACTACTTCCGCCGGAGAGAGTGCGCTTTCGTCGTCGGTGTCCGGCACAGCAAACACGGAGGTTGGTCGGGTGCTCATCGACCTCAAGTTTGCGCCCCATCCGAATTTGCTCGTGAGAAACTGGCAAGAGGGCGCTGCAACTTTGCGCGCAAATGGCATCGCCGCCATGAAAGCCATATTTTATCGCTTGAACCGTAGCGGGAACCTCGTCATCGAAACGGAGGATCTGCGGCTCGCCCTGGTCGACGCCGTCGACGAGTACCTCGCAACGTCTACCGCGGCGGCTAAAGCGGCGGTATCTGGTACATGTAAACCATTTGCTGGCACGTCTAGAGCATCGCAAGCGGGTGAGTTCTTGCTGCTGATGTCGGAAGGAAGCAAGTCAAGCTTTGGAGAAGGAAGCAACGCTGCGCTCTCCAAATCGGCAGCAGACTCCATCTTGTCCATGATGGACCGTGATCGGACTGCCGAGGTGACGTTCGCTGAGTTTTGCATGTTCTTGAGCCGGGCGGCCTCACGGCAGGCCGACGCTGCGGTGGGAGATCTTGTTAACGAGCTAGCCGAAGACAACGATGACGAAAGTTGCGACAGCGATAGCGACGACGACGCTCTCGGTAGCGACGCTAGCAGGAACGCCGGCGCCAACTGCGACGAGCCACACGGTAGACGGCGTACTAGACGTGTCCCCAGCTTGATTGGTTTGGTTGAAAGGTCAACGGATCAGACCGTGAGAAACACACAACTCACAGGGAGGCAAGACAGGGCCACCACCACCGAAAACGGCCGACGAAGCTCTCCAAAAGCCTTTTCGGATTCGTTTCAATATCCGGAGTCTGCGAAAAAACCCAACATGGACCCCCCAGAACTCTTCACGGCTGAACCCCCAGGGCGGGTGCAAGACAAACTGTCAAAGGCCAGTCGAGCGCAGGACAGCGTCGATGTCAGCCGAGGGCCCAACAGGCCAGCAACACCGGCACCTCATCACACGACGGAGGGAAACGAGACCGCAAAGTATGTCCTTCCCGAAGATATCACGTCGTGGACGGTAGGGCACGTCTTGAACTGGCTGTCGGAGGATATGCAGCTCCCACAACACTTGCACAAATTTCGGGATGCGTCAATAGACGGCTTGGTTTTGTGCGACCTTACGGATGTCTTGTTGGAGGAGGGTCTAGGAATATCGGATTCTCTGCATCGCCTCAAGATTTTGCGTCACATGCAAAAGCTCAGCAAGAAGCAGCAGCAGCACCACCACCACCACCACAAGGCTGATACGACGAGAGAGGACCGGCCACAGACATCACCACCACCACGAGCCTACGCTGCCAGAAAAACTCTCGGTGTAATGACCGGGTCGAGCGATACAAAGGACGCTCAAGCCGGTAGCCCAGCCAACCGTTCCAGGCAAACCGGGTGCACAGCCGTCGGAGTCGATCGAGAGGAGGACCCGCTACCGTTAACAACGGGTACGCTTGAAGAGAAGAAAACTAACAGCACACCGATCCCCCCGTCGCCACCTGGCGAAGAAGCCGGTGCTAAGAGGGGTACTGGGCAAGGCGTGCAGCAAACAGAGGACACCCATGAGGACGAACGGTTTTCTGCGGGCTCCCGATCGGGCTTCTCGCCCGACGAGGAGGCGTTTGCTCTTACCATGAAGGAGGTTCGTGGGGAGTTCGTAACCGAAGAGGTTGGCGGCGAAGGGTCGCCGGAATTGAGGACCGGGGTCTCGCAATTGAAGAACCGGAAGCGGCACATATGCATTCCAGCAAATGCTACCACGTCCGAGGTACACGAAGTGGTGCAGACGGCCATGTGGGCGACCGCGGCCTTGTTGGAGGACACAAACACTGGAGAGGGCGAGCGGGTCGAAAGTACGGGCGATTACCCAGAAGCGTGGTGGGGTAGTTCGGAAGGGGGCAGCACGGCCAAAAGCGACAGCATTGATGGTGCCGATTTTGACTATGCGTCAATTGGTGGAGGTACTGCCGAAAAAAATCGTGAGAACCGTGGGAACAAACGAGCGCGACTACTGTTCAACGAGTTATGTTCGTTCCAACAAGGTGGGGCGAAGAGCTCCGGCACAGCACGCGGCTTGAAGCTCACACGGCACAGACTCGAGGTCGGCATCCGCTCGCTCCTGAAAATTGAAATGCGATGGGAGCAATGGCAATTGTTTTTGGATTCCCTGCCCAGGCTTCGAACTCAGGGTTTCCTAAACCCGGGCGATTTTTTCGAGGCGTTCGGATTTCACCCTCTCCTTCGCCGACCAACTACTCCTAGGAGCGCGTTGGGTGGTAGCAAGCAGCGCAAGTTCGAGGGAGAATCATTCGATTTTGAGCCTGGTCGTAGTTTCGACAAAGGCAGCTTGGTTTCTTCAGAGGCGACATCGGGATGGGAAACATCCGCAACACAAGACATATCTAATTTTCGGGAATTCGTGCTGGGTATCGCGGATGCTTTGCGCACGTGCCGAGCAACCTTAGGGGGCGTCATATCTACTTTTGATAAACGAGGCACCGGGAAGGTAAGTAAGTGGACCTTAGGTGGTTGTTCGTACGTGCAGGCCGATCTCGTTCTTGTCGACGAATACTGACGCTTGTTTCACAAGCTGCAAGTTCTTGAGTACAACCTTCTGACACTATATATAATATACCGCATAGAATAGGTTATGGTTCTGCCTTATGGTGTAACTCCTCGGCCTCTCTCACCGTGGTTTGTTCGTCCGCTGTCCATGCGGACGTTCACGTGCAGGTCTCTGTGTCCGAGTTCATGTCTCTCGTCAAAGCGCTCACGAGAAAGAGGCGGTATTCCGCCCGTGCTAGGGCTATGACCGGCGGTTTCGACAGGAAGCAGGCGTACCTACTGCTCCGCTGCGTGGACAAAGACGGAGACCGAAGTGTTGTGCTTCGCGATCTGGTAGCATTCGTGTTCGCTACCTGGACCGAGGAACTGGAGCGGCTGACAGGGGGGAATAGCGAGCCAGAAGAGGTTCGGCAGAGAAGACGTCAGCTGCAGAAGGCATGTGCATGGATACCGCGGTCGGTACCGTAGTACAACACTTGTGTGAGGGCGAGAGAAAATTCACTACGTGGACCTGAAGGACTTGGGCGTGGCAAAGCCGACGGGGTGGTTCGCGCCCATAAACTACTCCTGGCCATACAGTGCCCATGGACAACTGTTCACATTTGATTGGTTGATAGCACCATTATACGCTCTCTCAGGAAGCGGAAGGCAGCGACTCTTGTGAAGAACCAGTCTGGTATGCCATTGGTTAGGTCCATTCTAAAGCAAATCCTTTGAAAGATCAGACGTGTCCAAGGAGACAAAGAATCTTGCAAGCCTGAGTTCGCACCGTGTTTCAACAACAATACTTGTACTTCCTATGCACTTTCCTTGGAACGTTTGGGCGATCTCTACCAGGACCTGAGACGTCACTTTCCGGCAAACTTTCGTCGAGCGCTAGGTCTTGATGCCGTCGAACCGGACACCGGACACCAAGGCCCCTTTGCCGCCCTCCTCGCCCGGGTTGGCTTGGACTTCCCAAGCCCACCCTCGCCACGCTCTCAGCCCACGTTCGTGTCTCCACGGCGTGCTCACCGCCAGCGTCGAAGTGAAACTGCGCGCAGCAGCTCGTCGTGTCCTGGTGCAGACGTCAAATTCGAACGCGAGTCCGTGGTAGAGAAAGAACGCGGAGAGCGATGGCAGGGGGGGCGCAAAGTGCGGGCCATGTCCGTTGCTACACCTGCACGGCGATCTCGGGGGGACAGACCTGCAACCTCTGACGGGCAGAGGCGTTTGGGGTTTACCGCGAACAAGGAGCTCCACAGGTAATTCCCAAACAACCGTGTCCAGAGACAAGTCACGGAAAGTACTGTTTTTGTTTTAGAGACAGAGCAGCGCGCGGCAACAAGTCTTTAGGTGTTGTCAGTAGACGCACGCTTAGGGTTCGTGGTACGTGATGACAACTTGGTTTGAACAACAAACAACCAGACAGAGGGAATACACAACAGACAGGCACTTCTGTAGTTCTCCTGTGCTTCGTTGTGCCGACTCCGTGACCTACCGTCGGTCATTGTTATGTATGACGGGCCGTTGCTCCCTGTGGTGGTCTAAACCTACAGGAGTAATACTTCGGTGTATCATCCTGTTCAACAGGATCAATCACCGCAGCACACACGGCATTCCCCGAAAGGCTCGAAACAAAGTTGACCACGCACGCCCTTACCTCCCGCTCTCGCAAACAATCACACGACATTATACTCTCCTTTGCAGACGCACCAGTTTTGAGGCGGAGCGGGTGCTATCCCTCCCGCCACGAGTAGACCTGAGTGCAATGAATCTTACGGCGTCTCATAACCGGGAACTGCTAGCGCAAGGGACCTTTCAGACATCCGGGGTTAGAGAAGGGACCTTTTCGTAAATCACGATGGAAATATTGGGAAGGCACCAGTGCTGTACTACCGTGAGTATTGCGGGCTCTCCATATTTGTGTCCCAGCCTGGCGCCAGGTACACATGTGTATGTAGGTCAAGGGCGGTCGGTGTGGTTATTTTGTAAACCTTGAACAATACTGCAATGCATGCACATAGACCGAATGTATGTATGTATCAGAGAGCGTACCGCCCGTAGGACGAGCACAGACCACGGCTTTGGAACGCGCGCGTGTTGGCAACCTTGTCGTTTAGTACTCGAATGCCTAGCCCTTACGGGGTGGCTACAGACAAATGTTGTAGATATAATAAGGACTTCCCTGTGGGACCGAGATTCGTGGGTGCTGTACGTGCGCGATTCGAGATACGAAATACCATGTGGTAATGAAGTGGAACCCAAGTCGATCACATACAACGGTAGTTGACAGTCAAAAACCATGGACAGTCGATCACAGAGTTGAAAATGGTCAAATACCATGGGCACAATGGTGGTTTAGTTCGTGTGCGTACAAGGCGTCGATCGGTGCAAATAAATGCCCCCCGCGGGTGGGATAAGCCATGTACAGTGTACCACATGTCATGCCCGATACAAAGAAGAGAGAAAGCCTTCGGAGAGAGGACGGGAGGGACCTGATGGTGTTGTTGGTCGTTGGTCACCCTCCGTCACGCCGCTCTCACAACGTGGCAAGTGGCAAAAGTATGGAACATGACGGGCCAGGCAAGTAGAAGCATGGATAGGCTATATCGCAAGATCAACCACCGTTTCTGTCCTTCGTCGCTCGATCGCGTGATTTGTCTTATTGTCTGGCATGGATGGGAAGTTCAGGAGGCCGGGATCATCGCGACGTCCTTGTGACTGGCATAAAAAAACGGTTCACCTTTGATTTCGTTTACGTTTTTTTTTATTGGTCTCCCCCCCCGAGCCTCCCCATCTTCCCTTGCACACATCCATCACGAAACGACCCCCCCCCCACCTCCCGTGAAAACTATCACACACTCGATCGATCGAGTCAATCCAAATAACCTCAAGTCAACAGTCAAATTCCCCCCCCCCCCCTTGCCTCTCGCACAAAATCAAAATGCCGAGAGGAGACAAATCAACAGGCGAAGCAATGCTCCGGCCACGCCTCAAAGAAACACACCGGAAATATCAAGAAACGTAGACTATAGGACTAAAACGAAGAGAGAGAGCAAGATGACCAGATCACGAGATGATGAGCAGCAGCCGGGAGTACCACGGGAAACAAGGGATTGCGCGACAAACAGGAGCGAAGGGTTCATCGCCAGACAAACGAGAGGGGTCGAATACCTTCCCCCCACTCCGTCCTAAAAAAAAAAGAGACATAAACGAATATCCCCACCGGTTTAATCAAGGTGGTCGCCCTTGTCTATAACTAATAGTACGTCCCTTGAACGGTGCTGACACTTGAGTCGCAACGCGCCCTGTGGCAAGACGAGCGAGCCGCTGCCTTTTCCGCTCGCAGCACAAAGAGGCTCTCATCCAAATCCCGGGAATCTGAGAGCCCCAACGCACTACTGCTGCTGTGCCCTGCTACACTACGCTACAATCCTCCTTTCGGCTTTGTCCTTCAAACTTTTTCGTCGGCACAACGCGCTCAAGAGGGTGCCAGGTGAGCGTGAGCTACAGACCAAAGCCTCGCGCAGCTAAACAGCAGCCATGAGAGACGGAGGAAACCGCGCCAGAATCAAACCCACATCTCGCACCTCCAACATCTCCAAACGAACACACCAATGAGATCTCCGCGCCACCGTCACCGTGCACATCTAAACTTGCACGTGAGCACTGGTTGGTTCCGGTTTAGGTGCGGCGCTAGACGGGGCAAGGCAGGCCGCGCCCCCAAGTACTTTGGGGAAGCCAAATACAACAAAAACGGAGGCGCGACCTAAATACGTTCGACGTGATTTGCAGGTCTGTCCGTCTGCTTTCGAACTGAACAGAAGGACGAAAGCGAACGTACGCACCCGTCCCTCTCTCCCGCTGGAAAGGCATCGCCTGCATGTGGCAAAAAAAAAAAAAAACTGTAGCGGACCACGAGCACCACGCCTGGTCATCATCTAAATGTCTCCTCGACAGCGACATCGTATCAAGCCCTCCACCAGCCTTTGAGCGTTGCTTACAGGCAGCATCCAACGCGCTACCGATGGGCAGACGGACCACTATCACTTCTGCAAGCCGCGGCACCAGTGCCACTGCCAACTGCACATACAACCAGAGGGCGGTTGTTCATGGTGCAGTACAGTGCGGAGCGGCAATGAAGCAGTGTCTCCCTCCTCCCTTCCGCGCACCACCCACCTGCCCTGGGCAGGGAGAGAGCCCGCTGCTTGCACACAAACTTGGATGCCAGCAGTGCCCGCCGATTGCGCGAGAGACAAACTTCGACGCCTACCACATACGGCATCATGGCGTTGTACTCGTCACACGTTTTGACCCACCACTCGCTATCCCACATCACGGTGCACCCTTCCTCCCCTTAGCTTCCATCTCCCTCTCCCTCTCTTGCTTGCTTGCTTTCTCCTAACAACCTACACACACAACTTTTATCCACTCAAGGGCCAAGCACAATACACAGACTGGTTACCCGCCATCCCGGCACCCCCGTCACGGCCGACCGCCCAGGAGACTTCCAGGAAGCTTCTAGGAAAACAAAGCATGAGTCTGCTGTAGTTTCCTCGTAAGGACACGGATTCATTTTCAGTTCATTCAACCGCCTTGTCGCTGACACCGCCGTACAATAGCCAACCTGCCCAACTTTCCGGCGATTTGAATCGCATCACCGCAAAAACTCAAGAGCACAGCAGACACACGAAGGTGAGCCACAACCCCCCCTCCCCCCCCAATCAAGCACGATACGACAGTGCCCACCACCTATACGAGCATTTAGGCAACACTGCATTTCTTTGCCAAAACAAAAGCCAGCTTAGATCCTTCGCCCCGAGGCCCCGGCCCTACCCCAAGCGCGCGGGGGGGGGTCTTCGCTACCATCTGCGGCGCCCCCTGCCGTTACTCCTCCTTGGCACCCCCCTCCTTGGTCTCCTCCGCGCCCTCCCCAGAGGCAGCAGGCTCGTCGTCCTTCTTCGCGACTTCCGCTTCGGCTTCGGCCGCCGCCGGCGTGTCGGCTGCTTCCTCCGCCTTCTCGGCCTCCTTGTCCTCAACGTCTGCGGAAGGGGCTGCGGCGTCCTCCTCATCCTCCTTCGCAGCCACCACCTCAGCGGTCTTCCGGAGAATGGGGGTGGGGACGCGAAATCAGCACGCCGACGGTAGAAGGGGGGGTCGGTTATTCGGGTTGTTCCGTGGTGGCTACTAGGTCGACAGCTGATCATGAATCGTTTGATTCGGTGCAGGCCGGACGATTGGACTACAAAATTGCATTTCATTTCGTTCGCTGCGAAAACAACGCCTACACTGTCGTTGTACAGTATGCATTCCATGGGCACAAGCGACCTCGAGCCTAGTCTAGTCCAGTAGCGTGGACTCGTTCGACCCGGCCGAGGAAGGGAAGGCGTTCAGGAGGAACCACTTAGCCACTCCATCAATCCATCAAGCTATTCTTCGCTGTGATTCTCAAGTATTCGTTTACGGGAAAACTTGCATAAAAACTGCTCACGCGAGCCAAGATGGTACACGGTTGATCGTAAAAACCATGAGCTGCTGCTACTTTTTCAGTATCACACTGAATCTCCCGGCATGGGCTGTGGAGCGGCTCCGAACAACACCCTTTGTCGACCTACATAGACGACACTCAGAAAGTGGCTGGAAGCAGCGCTTGCCTCGCCTTGCCTTGCCGCAACACACGCACTGTACTGTACTGTGTACTGTACCTTGTCCTCCCCATCTTCCTTGGCCCCCTCCGCCTCGGGCGCGTCTTCAGCGGGGGCGGGGGTCTCCTCGGCAGCCGGCTCGGGCTCAGCGGCGGCCTTACCGGTCACCCCGTTGGCCACGATGCTCGCGGCAGTGGGGGGCGCCACCTGCTCGTCGTAGAGGTGTAGTAGGTATGGCGGCAGAGAAGAGATAATGCAGGGGCAGGCGGTGTGAGTATTTGCATTGGGCGGGGCGGGTGGCGGCAAAAGACGGAGCAACCGCCAGGGTTTGGGAGACCTGGCTGGAAGTGCGTGCACAACACCTCATGTTGTGATACAAGCGGCAGAGGCGCGTGTCGCGAGCCAGAAACGCCCACGATGCCGCAATGACCGTCCCCCAATACCCACAGAATAAAGTACCATCAGATGAGCGATATGGCCATCGCCATGAACAACAACAACGACAACAACAACAACAACGAGGACGAGGACCACAGCAGCAGCAGCAGCAGCACCACCACCACCACCAAGCTTCACAACAATAAACACATCATGACAAAAAAAGGAACAACAGCACCATCAAAAGCAACGAAAGCAACAACAACAACAGTGGCGACAACAGCAACACTAACATCATGACAAAAAAAAAGCAAAAACAGCACGATCAAAAGCAACGAAAACAACAACAGCGAGCATTCAACACGCACCTTCTCGGCCTTGTCTTCCCCGTCACCGTCCCCAGCAGCATCGGCATCGCCGTTGGCGGTCTCCCCCTCCCCCCCGTCCTCCCCATCGCCCGCCTCGTCTGTCTTAGGCTTGGAAGCCATTCCAGGCAGACCGGGGAACTCTTCGTCGTTGATGTCGGGGGCCTTCGCCTTCACCTTCGCAGCCTTCTTCGACTTCTCGCCCACCTGATCGATCCAGGCAACATAAGGTGTTGGGGGGTTCGGTGAGGCGTTCATGTAAAACGGGGGGAGGGGGAGGGGGGGGGGGTAAGACGTGGGAAAATATAGTTTCTGGACCCCCCAACATTTGAGAGAGGAGGAGGGGCTTTGGAGGACGAAAGGAGCCACGAAAGGCTAAGACAAGCATCACAAGCCACAAGCAAGCCACTACCATACTGTGAGCGACAGACGAGGAGGGAGTCTTAGTCTTGAGGGATGTGATATCAGGAATAGTAGTTACTTGTGTTAAACATCTTACTACTAGCACATAGCGTGCGGAAGCCGGACGCAAGGATATGACATGATCGGCGCCATGAGGATGAAACATGGCCTAGGGTATAGACGCTACAACGACCAAGACATTGCCCAAGGAGCAACAGCAAAAGCAATACATTGCAAAAGCAACACGGAGCGTCTCCCTGACCTGGGCAGGCTTGGCAGTGGTGGCGGTTGGACGGGGCTGTTCGGCAAACCAAGCCTTCTTCTCCTTGAGAGCCTTGATGGCATCCGGCACCGCCGCCTGCCAAAAAACAAATACAACATAAGACAGTGGTCATTTCAGTGACACAAGCTGATTAAACCTTTACCTTTGCAATCAACGACCGAGAGAGCGAAGCGAGATAGAGGAAAGAGTGGTCAAGCCATTCCACAGAATTTGATGAAACCTTTGCAACCAACGACCTAGAAAATGAGAGATATATTGAGAGATGTAAAATCGCCAGCAACGGTAACCGGGGCTCCTTGCTCATGGTCTCGAGAGACCGTGCAAGAACAAAACGAGCAGTGATGTGATTTCGTACGAAAGATATTGCCTTGTTCAGTGTCCCTCGGCAATCAGCGGCAACAACAACAAATGTGTCAGTGAACAAAGCGATGGATGAGGGGTAGGGGTCTTGAGTCGCCTCACCTTGTTCGGGGGAGGGGCGATTGATAGCATCGAGAAGCTCTCCATGGTGTCGATGGCATGCACGATCGTGTTCTTGCCGCCCGCAGCGTTCTTGCCGCCGGCCTGAAAAAAAAAAATTGTACCAGGTAAACAAGTGATTGAAAGAACGTGTAACCCTTGACTACTGGTATACGTTAATGCAGCACAAGTATGGAAGTCTATCCAGTATTCTCCGTACTGATCCTACAGGTGACAGAAGCGATGCATTCTCCGTAAGCAACGGCCAAACAAGGTAAGCTACTGCTGTTCTACAAACAAAAATCGACAGCCGCGTTATGAAGTGTCTTGACCCAACGCTGGTACCTTCTTCTTGCCACCTCCCTTCTTCCTGCCGCCTCCCATGACGATGAACTCCTCGTCTTGCCGCTTCTTCATGACCATCTTCATGCCTTTGAACTCATCGTTGGTGGCTGCCTGCGGCGCCACTACGGCAGCCGCCTTCGGAACCACCAACACGAACACAGCAACAACAGCACGAGACAAAAAAAGAACAAAAACAGGCGTCACGAATAAAACGACATACATGTTGGCAACGAGCTAGTTCTACGAAAATATACGGGGAGAGAACATGTGAACGGGAATAATGTCATTTGCCCTATGAATACAAAATACTCTCCTACAGTGGTAGGTAGCACGGCCTAATAGTCAAGCAAATCGTCAACACCTACGTCCGGCTTGAGGCATGGAGACACGGAGACACATGGATCACGACCCAGCAACGCCAACCGCAGTCACCAAACCACAAGTGTACCCAACCGTACCCAAGCCTAGGCCACCATGTCTGTTGCCTTCTCATCCTGGCCCCTCATGTCTCGGGTCTGACATCATACGGCATCCTGTACACTCTACACCTGAACGCAACGTGACCGCAGCGCACTATTGTACCATAAAAAACTCACGAACACACAAACACGCAACCACAAAATCTCGGGCGCACAACAACATTTCTCAGTCGCGATTCATCGCCAACATACATACCATGCACGGTAGACATGGTTGCTGCGTTTTGTTGTTGGGTTGCAGTACTGTAGCCACTAACCTTGGGCGCCTCGCCCTTCACGTTCATGAACGTGGTCTCCAGGTAGGAGACGAGGGTGTCGCACAACACTATCTCCGACTGATCCATCCATCCACCACCACCACCACCACCACCATCATCATCATCCATCATCCATCATCATCACCGGCACGCCATCGGCAAAGAGCAGCCCGACGTATATTTTAGCAGAACCATCCGAGAGCACAAAGATGTCGACAGCAGCGACAACAGCACATTGAGGTCACAGTTCTAAGAGGAAGCCGGGAGAGGACAAGAGGTTAGCAGCTTGGCCATGGTTTCACAGTACACTACACTACATGAAACACATCGGCGCGAACGGGTGTGTCGTGGAATGGATGGAATGCGAATTCCGCCGATAGGGAATGCATGTAAGGCAGCCGAACGAGAGTGCATTGGAGTGGTTGCAAGGGCGGCGGGGGGGGTGCAATGGATCAAACGTAGCGTGTGACATGTGACACGGAAGGGTAAACAGAGCCAACTGGTGGTGCGCTGCAGAGAAACCGTGTGGTGGGCGCCCCAAGGATATCGAATATCATGAACACATGTCACAGATGCTGAACACAAACCATCCGGATTCCTTGATCAGCCTCTGTCTCATGACCTTCCTAGTCAGCCTCTGCTGTACTACAGTATCATATGCATTGTAGCCACGTGGTTTGAGAGAAGGACACCTGATACCCATGGGTTTTTTAATCAATTTGAACCCCAACTTCCCGCCGATGACATTTGGTATGCACCAACTGCACATGACCCTAACCTAGGTGTAGGATTAGGATTAGCGCAGACACGCATGGGTCCTTTCAAACACAATTTCCGTCACAAAATGGCGGTAATTGGTGGGTAGTATAGGTTGGGACAGAAAATTCTCCGTCACCAAATGGCACAAATTGGTGAGGGATATCCAACTTGAGACAGAACTGTCGCACTGTCGCGAGCTCGTACTACTACTGATCGTACCAAGGTATTGGGCAGGGTTTCCGGAAAGATTTAAACACAATGGTGTGCCCTATTCTCGCGCGACCACGTCCGCCTCGCCCACGTAACATACCACACCTCGTACGGGATCTTCTTAGCCTCCTCCTCCTCGAGCGCCTTGGTGTGAGCGTTCTTCGCCGCCACCCTCTCCAACCACTCCGCCTTGTGCAAAGCTCTCTTGAACTTCGTGCGCTCGCGCCTGCAGTTATACCTGCAACATCATCATCCACAGCCACGCAAGACTACAAAGTTAAAAACAAAATCTTCATACTCCAGAGGGGCTGGGCTGGACTTAAAGAAACGAACGGCTTTGTTTTGGCGAACGGCCTCAAGCCAACGTTTTGCTCAACACACGCCTCCTGAACTTAGTATCGTCTATCCTGCCGGTGACGAATGCTGACTGATCAACATCAACACATCAACACAGAGAAAGAAGAGATAATTCATCTCAAGACATCGAGCGATTCTGAGCACCGCTGTGTCGAAAGAGTAGATAGTTTAAGTGCCAATTAATACCTAGACTGGCAGAGGCACGAAACATGTCATCAACCCTCGCGTATCAAACGAGCGAGAGTAAATTAAATTCGTTCCAGCTTCTAGCTTCTAGCTTGGTGACTCACTCAACCACCAGTCTCCATCTTGATATTGATATTGATATTGATATTGATATTGAAAGAGCAACTCCAGCAACACACCCTCTTCCTCCTCCGACAAAGATACACTTCAATTCATGAAAGCCTAATAGTAATTATCTCTCACGCCCTTCGTACTTCTTTCCCTACGTTGCACAGCAAGCAGTCTCTATCTCGTACATAAAAGCAAGACTTCAACAAGGTGGGTACCCATAATTGGACCCACAGCCATCAATCTGAATCTCAACGTGATCTGATCTGAGTGCAATGAGGTAGGGTATATGTGAGGTATGATACCATACAGGCTTACCAGTGGTCGAGCTTGGCGCGGTGAGCAGAACGGAGGTCCTTGATCTCCTCGATCTTCACGTTGATCTGACAACACAACACAACACAACAGTACAGCAGTGCAAGTGCAAAAAATTAAAAGAGAACAGCAAGGTTTGCGTTCATCTGACAATACGACAGTGTAACACCAGTACAGTAGCAAGTACGTTACATCAAAAGATAACAAGAAGGTTCGCGGTTATCCAACAACACGACAGTACAACACCAGTAATACCCGTACTTGTACGTAAACAAGAAACAAGAAGGCACGACATTTCTTGTGGGAAGAAAGTACGCATACAATACCGACGGTGCCGCGATATCCGTACGCTCAAGATGAGCTGCGACCATCGGACAAGATCGACCGAGGTCGAGACGCTATTTATTATTATTCATTATTCTAGTCTATTGGTTCATTAGTTTATTAGTCAACATGGAAGGAAGAAGGACGGGGTCTAACGACACCAACACGTGTGTATGACACTTCCAAGGTGTATGCATACGACGATTCACACATCACGCATCACACCTCACACCTCACCCCAACGCGTAGTACGATATGTATACGGTTGCATACGAATGCACGACATGGAACATAGGAGACAAACGAAGGTATGTACGCGTACGCAATTCTCTTGTTCCACCGTAGGACCAAAGTGTCAGCCAGCCAGCCAGCGGCCAAAAACAAACGTCATGGACACACACCCAAAACGACAGCGACAGAATCGCAATACGCGGTGCAGCAAGAGCACAAAACGACCTTCCGTTTCCCCCCGTCCCCTCTCCGTCATCTGCAACACGTGGGTAGGGTAGGGTAGGGTCGGGTAGGGTATTATGTGCCTCACTCACCTCTTCGTGGAGGGCCTTCTTCTGCTCGTAAAGCGCATTCACGCCGCCGCCCTCCTCGTCGCGCTTGGCGCCCATCTCCTCCAGGACCGTGAACGCAGCCTTGAGCTTCTCTTGCACCGCCCGGAGCTCGGCTTTCTTCTCCGACTCCGTCTTGCGAGCCGCACCGTACCCATCCTTGGCACCCTTCACCATCTGAACAACAGCAACAACAACAACAACAAATACGTTTCAGCCTATGTATGTCGGAGGGTCATGTGTCGCTCACAGCGGCATATGCTTGTACGTGCATGTGTTAACAGAGAGGCGAAAAACATCGGTAGGGGAGAGATAGATAGATTAATTCAAACGCAAGATATTTGTAACCCCTCCTCAGCACCAGATGAATAAATGGGCATCCGTCTTCCCAACAACTATTCTTAGTGTCACCTGTCGCCACGACCGGAGGAGAGCGGTCATTCAACGCTACCTACACCTGTCTCTCTCTCACACTCACCTCCTCCTGGGACATGAACTGGGCGGCGGTCTTCTTGGAGGTCTTGAGCTGCTCCATCTCCTTGATCAGCTTCTTCTCCTCGGCCAGGGACATGGAGCTCGTTTGCTGTTGGGCGTCAACGGATGCATATGGGGTACGCAGACAAGACAAGCGTTGTCGTCAAGGGGTATGTACAAGTAGAGGACTCGGGGAAAGTAACGGGGTAGAGGTTGTATCCTTAAACACCCTTTGCGGTCAGCAACACATGCAGGGACCTGTAAAGAAGTTGGGGTGCGGTCGCGATTCCTTCTGTAAAGGTTTCAAGTGCACAAAACAAAAAATGGCATGTTGAAAAAACATTTGCTAAAAATGTCTTACGCAAGGGTCAGTCACGTCCGGAAAATGAACACACCAAACACCAGCACGACACAACAGCTATTGTACAAGGTTGTACGCATACAGAAGTGGACTATTTGTGCCGTGCAAGCATGTCAACAACCAAAGTCAACAGCACCCCTTTAGTGCCGCGCCGAGTCACAAAAAAAAGTCGAATGCAACCTCCCGGCCGCATACTACACGAAATCAAATACCGCCAGAAGCACCTTAACGCATCAACATCGTCATCAAAAGCACCAAGGGTACCAGCTGCGCAACCACGAGAGCCGGCTCGTCGATTACCCAAACACCAACCGGCACCGCACGACACTCAACCATCGCATCATGTCAACCATATCTCTCTTGCACGCGCATCTCTTCAGGGGGATGAGCATGTTCTCGTAACCGTTCTCACGAACATGCTACGATGCATTTTCGTTCGGTCGCTATCCCCCCCCCCCCCCCCAAAAAAACAAAAAAACGAAATATCGTAACTGCCCCAACCTGGGGAGCTTCCATCTGCCGGAAGGGAGTCTCGATCTCCCCGACAGTCTTGAACTTGAGGCTGGACTGGAGAGCCCTGCGGCTCTTGTCATGTCCCTCGAGAGCCGCCTTCGCTCTGGCGCTGTCCGCCTGACAGACAGACAACACGTTGAGCAAGATGGTTGATACATGCATGATTGTCAAGTTCACGTTCTTTGTGTTTGTTGCGAACAATGTATCACACACAACTTTATAGAACCCCGCAAAAGTTCGTCTTCGACTGACTAATGCCTCCCGTCGAGGAGTTTCTACGTCTACGACTTCTATCATGACTATCATCACTCGATAACAAAACGTGGCGACGGCATGCGCCATGCCCACCCCGGCAAAACCACTGCGTTCGCCCATTTCAGAGCACCTACAAGTGCACCCGGCAAAGCACCAACACAATCGCCGTGCCATAGATAGGCAGCGACAGCAGTGGCAGTGACAGTTACCGTGCAGCACACGAACGGTTACACGAACACAGCGGAATCACCGGAGGCATTACAGCGGTACGCGGCCAAAGGCCCGCCGAACGCACCTGCATCGTGTCCAGATGGCTCCTGATCTCATCCCTCTCCTCCTTCAGGGCACGCATCACTGCGCGTGCTTCCCCCATCTCGTCCTTCAGCAACACAAGAATACAAAAAAGAAAAGGCGAGTCAGAACACCAAAACACACACGACTTAACCGTTGTATCCGATCAATAATAATAAAAAAAAATCAAAAAACACACGACACGACACGACACGACACGACACGTGCGGGGATTCAAGCACAACAACATGGCAGGCAGTGACCGTAGTGCAAGGGAGAATCGAAACAAAAGACAAAACCGGGTACTGCCTGCATTGTACAGCATCAAGGGATCCAACCGAACGTCAGATCGAAGCACAGCCTTGCTTGCCGTTGTTGCGAGATGCTGGTGACGACTATTGGAGGGGTTTGTGCCCGCCATCTAAGGGGGAGTCATGTTTTTCCAAGTGCCAGTGAGAAGTGAAAGTGCAAACGGCCAAGCGCGTCCGGCTATCTTACATCACCAACTCGCGGTAGATCACGCAACAGGAAAGAAGAAAGCATAACCAAAAAATACAGACACGCACACACACACAACGAACACACCCTGTAAATTAGCAAAAAAAAAAATGAACACAAAAAAGAAAACGCCTAGTTACTACAGCAGTTAACGCAAACCTCGGGAAAAATCGAAACGGCACACCCGCGTTGCCAACAGGCACACACAGTGCGCACGCCACCACACCGCTTTACGGCCACGGGAGCTCCGTCACTCACCCCCTGCCCCCTGCGGGCCTCGCTGGCCTCGTCAATCTTGGCCCGCAAGACTTCGATGTCGTCCTTGATCTTCTTGATCGACTCGTTGATGGCGCCCACCTGTAGCTCGTGCTCATCGTTGTCAGGCTGAGGCTCAGCCTGAATCGAGTTGATGGAATGGGACGGGACCATTCCACGGGTGGATGAGTAACCACCAGGAAGGCAAGGCACGGCAAGGCAAGCGCGAGGGTAAACAAACAGGGTGCAACAAACGCGGGATTAGCGAGAAAGATCAGCACCACCACCAAAATAATCTAGATTACAGTCAGTGCCGAAATACGTTCATCTACAAATGATGCACTCTGGTTTCATGACCGATTCTCACCGAGCCATACTATATGGAGTATGCAAATACGTGTCGGAAGGGAAGATGCTGGTTGCTGTAAGACTGTAGGGTACAACAGATGGCTCCCCTGGCATGAACAAAAACCATGCCATCCTACTACAGCAGTATTCGGGAAATATCTTGAAACAAATAATTACAAATACCGGTAAGCCTTTTGTTTGTGGCATAACAATCCTCTCGCGCGCTTCTGTTACGTCACAAAATAATTCCTGGGGGCAATCATTCATATTCTTCATTAACACTGTTTGGTTTACCTTGTCTTGCCCTCCGCCAGCGAGGTACAACAGTCAGAGCACAACGACGAGACATTGAGACTATAAATAGCATGCCACGAGCTATACTATACTACAATACTGCTGTAAATCCCGGCAAACACCGACGGGCGGTGTCATACTTTCACTTTGCCCCACCAATCCCACCAAGTTTTGGAGTGCAAACATCCTATCCACGTTGACTTTAACGAAACGTCACCACCAGAATGCTGAAACAAGAACATTGGTTGTTAATCATCGTATACATGTCCTCACGCTGTGTCCAAATCGTCATATCCCCCGTAAACTTCAGCATTCTCTTTAAGTATTTATTGGGGGGGGGGGGGGGGGGCTTGTAACAAAAAGGTGAAGGGAAAAGGGCAAAAAGGGAAAGGGGGGATGCCAACCCCCCCCCCCACTGGGGGGGGGGCCCCCCCCCCGGGGTAAAAAAAGGAAATTAAAGGGGGACCCGGGGGAAAATACCTTTTAACCTTTACCCCCCTGCCCCAAAACAGGGGCCCTTAAAAAAACTGAGGGGGGGGAAATACCCCCCAATCCCCCAAAAA